CGATTTCAATACCACCAGGGATAAATTACCGTCATGTCCGCCTTATACATATATGTATAATATATCGAGTTCTTAGGTTTTCGCGATTGTTACACATAGGAAATGAAACTATTTTTCCGAATTTAAATCGCGTATATTTGTTTTTTCAAAAAAACCAAAGTTTCATTTCCTATATGTATAATATGTTACAGAGTAACACATTCTATACTCGATGAAACAATCAGAGTACCTAAATGTTTTGCATGCGATGCTTTATAATATTTATTTTCTTTTCTTTTTTTTTTATTATACTATATAGCGAGTCATTAGCTATGCGCAGTCAGCTTCATATAAGTACCGAGGACTTTTATTTGCGTTCTATTTTCTTTTAATTTATGATAATCGAGGGCTTTTTGTGGCACGTACTTCAACTGCGTTTAACTGTGTGTCCCACACAGGAAATCATATTTTGCCGGAAATGTCGTTTTTGAAAGTACCTATAAGCACTATTTTCCAATATATTACAATTTTAAACTCCTTCCTTAATCCGACGTCCAATCAAGTAGAATTTAAGTATGACTACAATATTAGGTATAATACCCATTTTATGGCTTCTGGCTACGTTTCGAGTGCTCACGTTTCCTAGCCTTTGTATACTATATACTGGTATATTTATAGATTTCCGTCGGAGTTTCTCTTACTAATTTCCGATTTTCTGAGTACACGCGGGTGTAACGAGCCGATGGAGAAATTTATGGCTTTTGAAACGGCATTTACCTTTAGAATTGAGCGTTAATCTTGTGTGAAAGACTCGTGTGAAGATATTGGAGCGCGATCGTGATGCGAAGCCCTCGCGAATGGGGGCAAATAAGGAAATATACTGTTACGTTCAATAGGATGACTTACGCTGGTTGGAAATGTTAATAGCAAACGAACACTATGTTTTCATTCTTTGTAAATAATATAACAATTTTCTGTTCTGTACTGCGCTAGGAACTTACAGACTGCGTGTGTATAATTTGTATTGATATTTGTTGTTCTTATTTCAAACAACAACAACACTTACAGCGTAAAACAATAGCAACTAATTTTTAAATATTGGTGCCTTTTTAAGCAACAAAGAAATGACGTTACGATTGTTATTTGTGGAACCTATTTTCGTTATATTTTAACCTATGAAATAGCCTCTAAAGCTATTTGTGATAATCACATTAACTACCATAAAATGTAGAGGTAGTCTGTAGAGGTATTATTTTTAATACATTGTTAACGCTCAGTATAACTCTCCGTAAACATGTGTGTTTTCGTCGGATTCGCTTTCACGGAGCCAGCCTTTGATATAATAGTGGCAGAGCGCTTCCCCACCCAAGTCATGCGGGATTATTTACCTGTATCTGATCCTTTGTCTATTTTCGCTCCACAAACCCCAGTTTATTTGCTCTGCGCGATTGGTTCACTTCGCTATAACAAATGAAACAGAGTTATTACTCGCTTGCCCGGATTAACTTCTTCGCGAACTCGGCGATTCCTTTTTTGGGTAATTCATTTAATTTCACTTATTTCTTACGTCTGTTATGTAGGTTTGTTTCTTGACTTTTTTAAATTAAGTTTATATTCAACGGATGTTCGAATTTTTATTTCGTTACTTCACTTCTTAAACACTCTTAAAGAGGTTTGTTTATTTACTTTTGCTTACTTGACTTTATAAAAGCTACTACTTTGATGCACTCTTTGAATAAATAAATTTATTGGACGGCTCCTAATGCGGTTTTTAGTCTTCAACTCACAAAAATTCTTATCTTATAATTTTTTGTATTCTTTTTAAAAGAACCCAGGAATATGCATATTTACTTTTGAAAGAGTTTTGCAGTTAGTTTCTAATAAATTATAAATTACTTGCTCTTGCAAGCGCATATTTAGTATGCTTATATTGAAATTAGTTTTCCTATTTATGTTATTAACGTCATCAACATTTAAATGGGGCTATCCGTGCGTTCAACACCTCTAGTGCTGTAATTAAGCACTTGACATAGGAGAGGGCGTTTCAAAGCGGTCTATATGAGGCTCGGTCAGTTTTTTAAAAGGAATTATACGTACATACACATTATAATTTAATATGTAATACTATAATTTTTTATACTTGTCTATGAATTTAAATAGATTTTGGATTATAAATGCCTAAAACTAAGAACAGAAATAACACAGTAATTGTGAAATATAAGTAGCTGTAGAGCCTCTTATGAAAGAGTTCGTCCATGGAAGTACTGCCACCTTATCTATTTTAGTCGTCAAGCCGTACTGTGAGCATTATTGCGTTCCGATTTTGAAGGGTAAGGGTGCTGGTGTAATTACAGGCTCATGGGACATATTAACAAATGTCTCAGGGTGATTGCAACTGTTATGGACAGGCGTGTCGCTTATCACCAGGCCTACGACTTGTTCGTACCGTCAATTAGTATTATATATATCTGTATTGAAATAAACATATGAAAAGTATGTTGAGATTTCACAGCAGATTAAGAATTACCCGTTACCCGTACCGTTACCGTGTGATCGACCACGGCCTAAAAACGTCTTTATTCTCAGGAGAATCTGACACCTACCAGTATTAATTAATAAAGTACAGAATATTGTACACTTATTTCAGGGGAAAAGACAAGTATAGATCTATATCGTTTTTGTTATCTACAAGGGAAAAAAGAGGGTACATTTAAAATTAATTACAGGTAGATCGGAACCGGCTATCGTTGCATCCGGACGATAAATCAGGTGGAACAAAATAATGCGATAAAGTTTTATTTGCACGATCGTCAAGACAGGAATACGACAGACTGGACGCGGGTAACCACTTTCAATGAAATGTTCCGCACATCGTTCTCGGTAATCTTTTTTAAATTTCTGCATATATTTAGAGATTAATGAACTGGTGAGAGGTGCGAGTGTGGATTGGATCTTATTTGTTTTTTGCAGAGAACATTCTAATACAACATCACGCTTTTAGCATTTGCAAGGGATACGAGGTGTAATTAAAAAGTCAATGCTCCAGTTATTAATTAATGATATTATACAAGTTTTTTAGTATAAAGTTGATTGGATATTCGTATTCGAACCTGAATATTTTTCTCGAGTCATAAGTTTCGTTTTGCTAAAGTTGTTTGTTATCACATCACAAATATACTTTAGTACGTGTATATTTAAGGATTTCACAAAACACATTAAAGGTGTGTTGTTACACGTACCTTCTACGCTAGTATGATGCGATAATTGTCTAAGAAGGTAGTATTTTGTTAGATAAATTTGTAATCCCGAATTCAACACACATTCCGGATTGAAATAAGTCAAGCATGATCTTGGTTTTATGTGACTATTCTGTCACAGTATGTCTGAGGTCACATTAAAACGACCAACGTGATAAATACAATACCTATATATTAAATTTTAATAACATATTAGCAAAATCCAGTTACACTGGTTCGATAAACTAATTTTCGTTTAATCACATTTAAACCTTATAAGAATATGACGAATGATTTATTACTACTCGTAATCTCTTAATGCAAACCATCGCTTAATCTCAAGAAAACTGGATCCTCTTCATACTAGACGATTTTCCATTGTCCGAGCTCTGCATCTAAAAATTGAAAAAGGCTTTAAAGTAATGAAGTTGGAACGGAACGTAAATCTGTTTAATGTGGCGACACGACGACATGAAAAATGTTCCAAATGTAAATTCACGCTTATTGTTGCCTAGCTTTATAGGAACCTGATTTGTGTTTTGTGTAGTCACCGCTTTTAATTTAGTAATTACACCATACAAATGGTATAATCGATAAAAATCAAGGAAATAGCTTTCTATTGATCAGTCGTGTTAGAAGTTAAATGTTAAATTTATAAATGGTGTAGTTGATTTGCTACCATTTGGAGATTGTCACGAACTTTTAACATTAGTGATGCATGTAATATGTAAGTGAAATTTATGGGAATAGAATATTTATAAGGTACTTTTCATTATAATTATATTTTATTGTGTATTCAAAAGTTTCGTATAATATTTTTTAATTCTAAGCTTGTACACATATGAAAAGTATGACTGTAGTATGTATTGTAGGCATTTCACGTATTACGGATTCATTATTTACTGAATTCATTAAAATATTTGGTGATGGGTTGTATGAAGCTCTCCCACACAGGTGTCAATTACCGGCGCGGCCGGAATACTGCCCGATGATGCCAGTACGATATCAACCGGCACGTCTTGCGGCTCTATGGAACACAGCTGCGAAATGAAATCAACGCGTCGTGCTATTACGTTGTGGGAATATCTACCGGTATCTCGCAGCTGTGTTTAGACCGCATGTGGTATCGACATGTTGCTTATATTTAAAATAGTTCACAGCAGATTACTTATGAGTGGAAGACATACTTGTAATATCAACTATCTATCGGTCAAAAAGCTCACGGTTCTTTATCGTTAAACCTTTCGGAAATTATAGATCTAATGATCAATGTTTTAACCATGAGTTCAATTTAACTACGAATATTTGTGTGATAATATGATGACTTTATCGTCTCAGTCAACCGTGAGCACGACCTATAAAGAGCCCGAAGCGTTGGTTTGTTTTTTTTTAAAAAAAAACAGAGTCCAAAAAAAAAATCATTTCCAATGCGTAATAATCGCGAAGACTTTTGTGGCAAATTTTATATTTTCTTGTGACCACTACAATTTCACTTCCATATTGTAAATTCATGGTAGTTGTACAAGTGAAGCGTTAGAATTTATATATGTAGTAGTAAAATTTTTCTTCCTTCGGGACTGTTAAGGCTCTATTTGGCCATATTGCCAGATTTAGATTTTAATTTTTCTTCAATTATTTAATTTTCAGACATAATTTCGCGGGAAATCGTAGTCTTTACGGTGGCCATTTTGAAACTCCTTGAATAAATATGAAATAACGAACGTTCGATTATTTTTATGACTCTAGCGGAAAGCTACAGTATTGTAATGCATGCTATTGTTGCAGAAGCAAAGCAGGGCCAGCGCCGATGTAAGGCCAGGCCGCCATGGACCGGTGGGTGACTGCGTTGAGCGCCCTGCTGGCTTTTTTCCTCTACTACAACACTCTGGACGCTGGCTTCGTTTATGATGACAGGTAATTATAAGGGCCTTCGTCTTCTTGCTCTTAATTTGTATGTATAACATCAATATACTATAAGATATATGTTATCTATCACGATCACCTCCGTATTACATTTTGTGTCTGTACAGGAACCACGTATAATACCATAGACTAGGTTTTTTAGCTTTGTGTATTTTAAAACTACAGCGGAGTGGATATGCTCGTGGAATCAAACCTATTTGATAGAAAAAAAGGTACTATTAAGATCATAATAAGAGGTCAAATATTCATGTTGTTTTCAAAATGTGATAGGAGGCTCGTTGTTTTCCAAAATTTAACTCTTTCTGTATATGGAATCAATGCTAGGCTTTTAGAGCACCTTCATATTGGATGCTTATAGAAGCGCCGTAGTGGCGGTGACGCTGCTACTACTAGTAATTTTCAGTTGCAAGGCCACTGTCGTGATACGTGCGCGCCGTTTTTCCAGTCACTAAAAATTAATGAAGCGTTGCAGACTCACGGCCATCCTGCAGTGTCTAAAAGCGTCTAGTTTGTAAACGCCCTAATAGTATATTTTAATGAATGGAGGTAAACAATCCATGAAGATAGGAAATGAAACTATTTTTCCGGATTTAAATCGCGTATATTTGTTTTTTCAAACAAACCGACGTTTCGGGCCCTTTACAGGTCCCATGGTCACGGTTGACTGAGGTGGTACAGTCTTCAACCAGTTATGTCTAATATTAATGCAAACCACCCTATTTTTCACTATAGTTACAATAGTTATTAATTAAATACCTTATTTTTAATTTTACAAAGAAAACATTCCAATTTACGCTACATTAAGTTTTACAAATTATTTTATTGAATGAATTATTATTAAGTTTTATTTATTATTAATTATTAATAGAAATTAGAATAAACTAAAACATATTAATTAGTACTGCAGTCTTATGTCTGTTTGGGATTTTTTATTAGAGGAAATACTGGATCCCAAACTGGTGGTACGGAGAAACCATCTTCCCTGTTGAAATTAGGATGTTTTTTAATTTCAATGGCCTCTCGCAGCATCCTGGGTAGATAACGGACTTCTTTTGCAAGGACCTGGGGTTTGTCAAACTTCATTGAATGTGTAGGTTTATCCATGACATGCTCGCCATGTCAATCCATGAAGATTATTTGTAATTATCGTAAATTTTATCCCTTTCGCTGGTAGGGTTGGGTAACAGAGTAATAATAAGTTCGTTAAGGTATACGTTACTGACAAAAAGCGAAACTCATGTTGCGGAATATCAGGAATCAATAATACGATTAAAACCCATATTGTAACAGATATCTTTCTGCTGACGTAGCTGTGTGATGAGGGCTGTTGCTCGATGGCAATCAACCATGGGGCGACGAGACGCTACTTCCGGTACCAGTATTGAGATTAATATCTTTAGTTAAAATGAAACGAGTAGTTCCAATGTACATTAGTATGGAGGGAAAGTACTTAAAATTTTGTAGATAGGATATTTATGGAGACATTATTTTATTTTTAAAAGTAAGCAATACGGCTTTCAAAGACAGAGTTGCTTGCCAAATCTGGGAATCGAACCGAAATGAAAAAAACAATAACCTGCATTTTCCTTGTGCGTTCTTTATTTTTATGACACCAAATGATGGGACGAACAAGCCGTAGGCCTGGTGGTAAGCGACATGCCTGTCCATAATAGTTGCAGTGCCATTCAGAGATCAGAGATTCATTCTTATATAGCAAAGATCTGAGGGGTACTGTCACTGCGCCTGAAGTCCCATGTGCCTGTGATTCCATCAGTACCCTCATTTTAATTACTGATTGTGGTGGTACTTCCCTGGACGAACTCTTTTACAAGGAGATCTACTGCTACTAAAGGGTCATCACAAGGATTAATTTATTATAAGTAATATAGTATCTTAATTTAAAGGAACACCGTCTTATTATACTATTTATTCAAAAAAGAAACTGCGAATTTGTAATTATAATTATAATCGTCCACATTTTGACACTTGTCATCGCAATGTAAATAGGGATGTACACTAAATATATCGGTAACCACATTAGATGATTCTCACGAGAAACCGATTCGATTTTTTATGAGTCTGTGATCGTTTCGATTATTTTTCGGGTCACTAGTTTTCAGTTCTAGATAGAACAATTAAAATTTTATTTGAATATAGAGTTTAATATAAATAATAAGTAAGTATTTTAAATGATCACAATGACAACCAGTAGTTGTTGTTGTGGTGTAGTTACATTGACAGAGTTCACAAGGGCAACCTGTAGTTAAATAGTAAACTTCTGAATGAAAACAAAAAAATAGTAGTTACAATTTTCACTTTCGTCGGAAAATGAACCAAAATCATCAGTTGAGCCAGTATCAACTGTATGGATAATATTTGATTTCCTATCATGTTATTAATGTTAACATTTCTGTCAAAAAGAAAATCAAAAAGTCAATATTTTTTTAAGTGAAATTGAATTGACTCGATAAAATACGGCTATTAAATGGTTAAATTTCTTTTCATGTCATTTCTTTCATTACTAATTCTTAAAAAAAAAGACAGGATGGCCTTAACTGTTTTTAAGATCTTTCGAAGTAACTCGAAATTGCATTTTATTTTGAAATTCGTGCGAAAATACTATCATGTTATACAATACTTAATATAATAACCCCGCAAAAGGAACAGTAAAACCACTTTTATTTAATTCTAAACAATTTTTTCATGTATTAAAATCAAAATCCACTATTTTACTTTACATATACTTTTGTAATGAGTATTAATAGTAATTTAAAAAAATACGGGTACTCAATGTAGTGACCTCGATTGGGCACGGCGGGCGCAAATGGGATATATTGATTAATAATTATTATTATCACACTGTGTTGATTTATATTCTAGTCATATTTAAGAAATTAATAATAGGAATAATGCTAAATCATCTAAAAAAAAAAAAAAATATTCTGTTCAATATTCTGCCTAATCTGTATCTAGTAAAGTTTTGCAAAATTGTCTCGAAGTTGTATGCACCACGCAAGTGCAGTGACTCCGCCACGCGCTTCACCAAGCGATACGTAATCTTTCTCGATAGCTTATTTACCATTTTTTTAAATATGAATATGTACTTGTATTGTTATAATTTACCATTTATTTACATTAATTAGGAAAGTTGACTGAGAAAAGTTTTTTATAACTTAGATTTGGTACTTACCAACTTTAGGTTGCAAGAAAGTATTGCTAGAAGTACCTAGCTTCAGCAGAGATTCGCACGTGAGTTTCGTTTCAACATTAGACTCCACAACTTTGAAAGCAGACACTTCGACACTAGTAAACCAAACGTTTCACATCATAGAGAATAAACACGCACTTGTACTTGATGGATTACCATGCAGGGTCTGCTGAACCTGGTAGCGGTTCTTTTTCACACTCTTGTTTACATACCAAACCACGTGGCATTTCGTGACAAACTAGAATAGAATTATGTGGGATGTCAGCGTGACGTAGACGCAGGACGGGAAGGAAAGTCGACTGATCTACCAATCGTGCGCTCCCGCTACCCGCACCCCATCACCAAATAGATCTAAGATGCGTTTCTTTCTGCGCATTTAAGCGTAAAACATTTCATTGTTCAAAATGTTTGCAACTGCCGTGAAAATCAATGGCCTTTGGATCAAATTTGTTTACCGCAATTAAATAAAAAAAAAGGAATTTACGAAATTTTGTTTTCGGTTTTTTTTAGTGATTTTGAGTTCAGTTTCGAATATAGAATGACCTCTATAAATATGGCGAGAATGCAAATCAACACATTGTCTAAGAGTACTATGAATGTACGTCCACAGCAGATCGAGCTAAATTTCCTCCAGTGCAACGAAACAAAATCCATCAATGTGTAGCTTGGTGTGCTGTCGTCTGTACGTCATCCTTGATTTCATTTCATATTACATATTGCCTAAAGAAATAACACCTTAAGAGGATAGCCTTTTTTATTCTTTCTATTTTATGGAAATGTGGGGATATAATTCATATAGACTTTTTAAGTCGCTAAGTTTCACTTTAATATGTTTTATATGTAGTTTCTCAAAGTGGTCCCTACCGCCCCACGGTGGACGCTAAAGAGACCTAGGGGTAGGCCGTAGGGGTAGGTAGGGGGGTAGAGTAGCAGGGGCCTCGGAAGCAATGGGGGGCATTGATACTATCCAGGAGGTGCTACCGCATTTGAAAAAAAATCTAAAAAAAAACTACATATATATAATTTTTTTCCTTGTGATTTTTTTGTGTTAAGTTAATGTAAAAAATACGTGTTTTCATTTATTTTTTGTGGTGGTGGGCGTTCAAGTTTTTTTATCTGGCCTAAGTTGGCGGTGAGTCAGAATCTTTGGGAACCTATGATTTATTACTTTACTTTCCTCACGTTGTCGCTAGATGGCGTTGAGATCGATATAGAACGCGTTGTCAGTACTATACTATACTGTAACTATAGTATTTTGTAATGAATAAGAATGAGCTTAGATCCTCAACCGTACTGCCTACCTTAATTCCGGGTGAGCATTCACTTGTAGCACTTGCTAAAATACCTAAATGGTTCGTACCATACCCATTTCCGTCATATCACTTATGGGACAGGTTTTGTAGCTCTCTTCGTAGCTGCTTAGCCGTAGGCGACCTTTTGTAACCCTGTAAAAGTTGCAATAATGACAAACGACGTACTTCTTACCTTGTTGTAGCGCTACAGTCTTACATTAAAATTCACAACATAGATTTAAAATTGTAATCTTACATTAAAATTTATGATTTTATTTTTACATTAACATATACAATTTAAAATTGTAATTTTATGTTAAAATTGTTTTAGTACATTTATGATTGATGGATTGAGGACAGTATTGTTACGATATATACTCGTATATTATTAGGTACCGACATCATTTCAAGAAAAACATCTATAAATTTAAATATAGGGTATCACGGTGAATATTAACCTTATACGTAGGACGTTAAGGTAAACTTTTTAA